GGGCAATTGAGAAGTGATGAATCTTTTCCGTGCCAACACTTGCTGCGACACGGGACCTCAGTTTAAACGGTATCATCCGAAGGACCTGTTTCCGTCCCGCAGTGGGATTCGACCCCACGACGTAAGCATCAGACCTTACTCCACGACACTAAAGCAGACGCTTTAACCTTGCAACGCGTTTGATCAAAAGGTGATTTATTACATCGATAGGGATTGTAATAAGATTTGTGGTCTTCATTTATGACCTCTCTATCTATTATTCCACCCTGAACATAAAAAAAATTAATGATGCTTCTTGCAGATAGGGACTATTCTCCTGAAAATTGACTTTTATATACCGCATATACTTACCTTCGTCACATCTATATCCTTGAGCCCCAACGTCACATCCGTTTGGACAACTTCCGTTCATGTGATTACATTGTTCTCCGTTGCTACAGTTACCACAGGTTAGGCTGCACTCCAAGCCGTATTTATTATTATCACATTCTGAAAATTATAGGGTATGCTAACAGAAATTCATTTTGTATTTTATATTAAAAAAAAATATCAGCTTATTTAAGCAATTATAACACTTCAAGGATAAAATTCTGGAACCATTCAGAAAAAAAAGCTTGAGTACAATTACTTTTAAAGGAAACTTAGATGAATTAAATGAATGCATGACATTTAATTTATGCATGTCTTTCTGCAGGTCGACATTTCCGTAATTCGACTCTGCTTTTCCTCGACAAGTAATACTGATTTTCCGCAATTATATCTTTTGCTTTTCCGCGACTTTTTATAACTTATTATGCTTTTCGGCGTCTTCTTTGAAGCAATCGCAGTCTCGTAATATATTGGATAAGGACATTGATATAAACCTTTAGCGCTGTATAAACGAATATTAAAATCAAGCACTGATATAAATGCTGAATAACCCACGTGCAGAACAGATCACAGGTACTTGTGGACAGGACACCCCCCCCCCCCGTTATTCAACCCCGGGGCTTGTTGGACATTTTTTTTCACAAATTATATTTATTGCACTTATTCATCATGTGTACCATAGGAAAAAATCGTGAAAACCCCAAAAAAATCGTTCCACACAAAAATACCCCACTATATACATTATAAGAGAGAAAGGTATGCCACTCCGGTTTGTTTACGTTGTATCCCCACTGGTCTTTCTGGGTTTAAAAACATGTATTTATTTTATTTTAACCTAAAATGTCGGTTCACACTGTCTCTACATATATTTCTGTCTTAGTTCATACTATCGGATTGACTCTGCATCTCGTAAAAATCCCACAATTAATCCTTAAACAGCATTGCAGTCAGTGCGTTGAAAAATCCTTAGGTAAAAGCAAAGGAAGTACACCAAGAATGTATCACTTATTACGATAACGTCCGAGAGAGTTTTGGCCTGACGTAATAATCTCTCTCGGACGTTATCGTAATAAGTGATACATTCTTGGTGTACTTCCGTTGCGTCTACCTAAGGATTTTTCAACGCACTGACTGCAATGCTGTTTAAGGATTAATTGTGGGATTTTTACGAGATGCAGAGTCAATCCGATAGTATGAACTAAGACAGAAATATATGTAGAGACAGTGTGAACCGACATTTTAGGTTAAAATAAAATAAATACATGTTTTTAAACCCAGAAAGACCAGTGGGGGTACAACGTAAAAAAACCGGAGTGGCATAACTTTCTCTCTTATAATGTATAGTGGGGTATTTTTGTGTGGAACGATTATTTAGGGGTTTTCACGATTTTTTCCTATGGTACACATGATGAATAAGTGCAATAAATATAATTTGTGAAAAAAAAATGTCCAACAAGCCCCGGGGTTGAATATCGGAGGGGGGGGGGTGTCCTGTCCACAAGTACCTGTGGAACAGATGTGCATTCTTTCACATTTTAATATGGACTCCTTTTATCTTCCGATTTGTTTCTGTATCAACAAATTCCATAACGTCTAGAACCCATTAACGACAAGTGTAAAATGTTGATTTTTTTTTTTTTCAAACAGTGAGTTAGTACCTACTACCCAATTGGGGAAAAGCAATGTGAAGTAGTCGCAGAAAAGCATACAGGATACAAAATAAAACCGCGGAAAAGCACGACGGCCTCAAAATTATAAAAATCATATGTGTTCTTTACTACACCATACAGTATCAAAATAGTTTTCCACTATCATTATATGTATTTTTCACATTTTGTTAAGCTTAGGTCAATACAGAAATCATTAAGCGGGTTTCTAAACAAGCATTACCAGTCAGAGTAACAATGTAAAGGATGTCATCTCTCTCTCTCTCTCTCTCTCTCTCTCTCTCTCTCTCTCTCTCTCTCACACAGGATGGCTTATTTATACGAACGTTCTTCACATCGTGGCCCTTTGTATCCGGTAAGACATCCAAGACAGGTCCCATCAACAATGTTACAATGTCCCTCCTGGCAATTCTGTGGACACGTTAAATCACAATTTTCTCCATAAAATCCTGCGGTAGGGCAACCTAATTGAGTAATTATTGATGATTTTAAATAACCATAATCACCTTTTGCATATGTTATGGTATTTTATGTAACTATCAATTAATGATTACAGGTTTATTTTTTATTATTATTACGTGAACAATTAATGGGGAAATTACATGTAATAATTAAATCGAAATATTTCTGTGAGGAATGTACATCTAATACTTAAAATGGAACTTCAATAAAATTTACTACAGGCTGCTGTTTTTGGATTACACAGAAAGAAACGATAACGTTTCAACAAAAACTGAAAGGCAGCTTTCAGTGAATTTTCGGTGATTATTCAGTCACTGAATGACAAATACATATAAGTGACCTTTCAGTTATATATCAGCTACAATTCTGGCATATTTTCGACACTATTCAGCAAAGACTGGTATGTTTCCGTGACCTTTCCTCTCCCTTTCAGTCACTTTTCAGTAATATTAATTTTGTTATCTATTCTTCGTCTTTTTTAAAAATTTTTCAGTTAAATTTCATGGAGAGAAATATCAGATTTCGATTTATTAACCATATTATAGCATTAATATTATAGTATGAAATTTAAAAGGCCTGTCTATTATTCTTTATATTTAAGAATACTCAGATAAAAAATTACATATTGATGTTTGTCTGAATGTCTTAAATTTAGTTTGTTTAATTAAATTTCTAATGGAATTTCAAATTGTAATCTAAGACTAAAAGCATATTGCATAGTATAAATATGACAAAGCGTATATATAATTTCATGTTATTGTATAAAACGACTGGAAAAATAAAAACAATAAATTATGTTAAGAATTAAGATTTAAAAGAAATTTCATTTAGACAACAATATAAGGATTATATATTTGCATGAGAATTCAAAAATTGACAGGGGATCATCTTTTATTTTATCCGTAAAAATGCAGATAGGTGATGAAAAATATGACTTCTTATCAATTCTTATAAATAAAGTAAAATTAGGGAAAAAAAATCTAGGGCATCTGCGATTCTGCATTTTAATTAATAAAATGCAATTTTGTTGTCTCTTTAATTTTTAAACTTAGGATTACTTAGAATTGTTTAGTTAAATTTATTATTATTTTTTATTTTATTTTAAATATTTTATCTTTAAGAACAATAAAAATTACATTTTCTAAGATGAAGTATATCGAATAACAACCGTGTGTTAATCGAAGGTGACTTTCACTATCTTTATAGAGTATTTTAAGATCTGTCTGCCCCTCAAATATGTGCAATTAACATTGCATATGCTAGATTTATATATTGAGGTATACATATTGCCCAACTCGTAGAGAGATAACAAATAAATTAGATTTGATTTCTATCAGCATAGTCATTTTTAATTCGATAAAAGATGATAATTCCCATGGGAAAAGGAATGTTATGATTTTTTATATATCTTAAATTTTCCCTGGATTTTGATATCAATATAGCAAGCCTCACCCTAACACCAAAATCCCTGTTAAAGACCCAGGAGCAGAGAAGATTTTCAAAGAACTCAAACATTTTCACTATATGATAGATAGAGACCCGCCCTAACACTATAACCCCTGACCCAGGGACCAGGATATTCACAATTTTGGAATAGCCCCCCCTTGCCCATCATAATTAAATACTTGGTTTATCTGCTAAATACCTTGGTGCAGTGAGGACGACTTTGAAGAAATAATGCAATTTTACTATATAATCAATAGACCCCCCCCTTTCCCCCAAAACGCTTCGCGGTTTATAAAGCGTAAACTGTCCAAAGTTATGTTATATCGTATATTGTATATACAGTATTTTAAGCTTCCTTTGTTTAATTTATATACACAGTGTGCCCCTCCCTCACTACCACCACCAATTATGCCACTTGTTTCTGTTTAAAATGATATTGGACATTATTATATAGTCTATAAATAGCCCCTATATAATCTATGCAAACGCAAACGGTTCATAACACTACATATTCACTGGATTTGAAGTCGTATTCACCTTAGGGTCAGTGCGCGTGCAGCGGCATTGTGACGTCACAATCAATACCCCAGCGTTAAAAACAATATGAGGTTACAACGGCCGGAGCCAGCTGTGTATCTGAGCAGGAAAAATGTTAGGCAAGTCTATCGCAGGATTATTTTCCAAACATTTCGATGTTTTACACACAGCGAAATGAAATCAGGGAAGTTATAAGTTGTATAATCTGTACTTTTTTATTTTTCTACGACAGAGGTTCGTTAATGAAAGAAAGGTATCGTCATGCAGCCTTCAATGTCTTATTTATTTAAAGCCGGACTATATAATAAAACAATTATGGACTCTTTCGGTGGTGAATATGGTTTGTTATTCACCAGAAAAATATCAGTATTGACCGAGGCGAATAACAAACCATATTAACCACCGAAAGAGTCTATAATTGTATATTATTTCATTTTTTTTTTTTTTTTTTTTTTTTTTTTTTTTTTTTTTTGCATGTTTAACTTTCTTCTTAGGACATTGTTTTCATAAACAGATATAACAGGTTCTACATATCGGGATAAAGGTGTTGTGGAACTCTTGATTGTTTAATTATTGTTCTTTGTGTAATGTCAATCTATACACATTTACATTATGTTTTGTATGTCGTACTATGACGTCATAATAGCATGACGTCATATACGTTACCACGACGTCAGGTGAATAACTTTTTTTTCTACAGTCTAGTTCAGAGTTCACATAAAAGAAGAAGGGCAAGATGAATTTATCAAAATTGAAGTTAATGCGTGCAGGAAATACATGTAGGACGCAGGTACGTAAAGGCTTCCAAGAGAATATCGCAGTGTACTCTGTGCCTTCACTTCTCTGAACTACAAATGTATGACGTCATAATTGAAAATGACGTCAAGTCACTGCACACTTGAGCTGCTATGATGGGGAGAGTCTCATAAACTTTACACCTTATTTCAATCTGCATATAAAGTGTCAGAAAGGTAGTGTGAAATAAACGTGTTTTAATTAAGAAATAAGGTATCATTTTTAAACATCTATCGGGATATAAATACGGGTTGGTCACGAGATCAAATTCCATAAAGCCCGAAGGGCTTTATGGTAAATTTGATCTCGTACCAACCCGTATTTATATCCCAATAGATGTTTAAAAATGATACCTTATTACTTATATTTACATTTGTGACTTATTCATATCATATATTAGCCTGATTATAACCTTTAACGCGTGAAATGTTTTATTTTTTCAAACTCAACGGCACAAGTTTGATCTATTGATTGCGCGTCGACCCTTTATGACGTCACTTAGAAATTACGTCGAACGTTTATGACGCGAGGAACCCGTGTTTATACGGATATAGATACGCGTTGCTTTTAATAGTGTTATATAAAAGAAAACATTTGCAAATGTAAATATTCTTTTTTAAAAATCTCATATATCGAATATCATAGATAACTTTGTTACTCTTGTTTAAAAGTCAGACTGTTCAAAATATATACGAAAATATACGTTTTGACATTTACCCTTTTTATACCCTTGGATAGAAGTAAAATTTATTATATGTGTATAAAAGAGCCTGGCGCAGGTGATTAATGAGGATTTATTTGAGATCTTTTGTGGAGATATGTAAGAAGAGTTTCCCCTCTAACTGAATCTTGCTTGGGAAAAATGTGTGATGGCTTTGTTTTAATACAGATGACGATATTGAGTGGGAAATACCCTCAAATTTGTCGGTAAGTTGAATTTATTGTGAAATATTTTGTAACAGAGTAATAGTTTAACTTTTCCCAAGCACATTTCGGGTTCACAAGGATGCGACGAGTTTATTTATGTAACAAAAAGTTAATAATAATTGTGTTAATCAGCTGCGCCAAAGCGATTTATGTGAAACACTTCAAAAAAGTAGAAATGACCGTCATGTGATCAATAAGGTCATGTGATATCGTAACAAATACGTTTATATATAGCCTAGAGAACTCTCTATATAAATTGGCCGTAGTTAAGTACATAACTTACAAATAAAAATAAAAATCGACCTCGCAATGCATTGTTATGTTTTGAGCGCATTTAAAGCTTCGGGAAGCCTTAACATTGCTGCGGAATGCTGTGACGAAACTTTTTTAGAAACTTGAGGATGCAAAGGAAAAATTAACAAAAATATAATAAGAGTTTCATACGAGAAAGAAACCGGGAAGGGATGGGGTGTTGAAATAAGAATTCTAAAGTTGACTCAACCAAACAAGCATTCTGAGTATTGCATTAGCAATACTACTCCCCTACCGGCAAGTGTAATCTGGTTCCCGAGAAGAATTGAAAATGCCATAATTCCGTCAAAAATCAATGAAGCGGAACGAAATGCAAACTTGATCTATAACTCATCAAGGTAAAGTCACATACCAAAAATCAGCTCAATATCTTCAAGCGTTTAGAAGAAAATTGCGGAAAACCCTTAAAAATTGAAGTGGTCGTAATTCCCTTAAAAATCAGTGAAACGAAACGAAATGCAAACTTGATCTGTAACTCATCAAGATACACTCACATACCAAAAATTAGCTCAATATCTGCAAGCGTTTAGGAAAAAAAGTGCGGAAAACCAAGTGGGACAGACAGACAGAGGGACAGACAGGCAGACAGACGGACAGACAGAGAGACAGACGGACGGACGGGCGGGCTCAGAGGAAACCTATAGTCCCCTCCGGTTTCACCGGTAGGGGACTAGTAACAACAATACACATACCATCTCACAAACCAAATCAGTCATTTCAAATCTCTGATAGTCAGGAAATATATATATATATATATATATATATTAAATTTAATTGATATAATAATCAAACCGACAAATCGATTTTATTGATGAACAAAATTGGGATAAACTCGGTTAATTTAAATGATAATGAAAATGCCCAGTATCTATTTATATCCAATGTATACTTTTTAACGTCGCGGGTTTGCTGACGTCATTAAAACTGGGTACGCAATTTATATGGTTTGGGCGACTTTCTTGTGCACATTTGATTATGACGTCAC